GAGAGAGAGAGAGAGAGAGAGAGAGAGAGAGAGAGAGAGAGAGTTAGTTTTTAGAAAGCAAAGATGGTGATTCCCTCAGCTTACAGAACTTTAAAGCCACCGGAGACTGCTTATCTTACAGTCTCCTTGCAGGGAGTTACTGCCTACAATAGTTGGGGGTGGAGGTTCATTGTCCAAGCCTGCGAGTTGGTTTCCAAACATTTTGTAGATTTTGTGATGGGAGGTCACATCTTGTCTTCTTCATTGCTTCCCAGGGCCTCACATTGCACATTCTTGGTGGCCCATTCAACTTTATTAGATGGCTTTATTATGCAATAGCATTTAATTCACATTCTAGCATAAATATTTCAGCAACTGTTGATCAAAATTATGAGAGGGCTGAGTCTTAATTATATTTTCATCAAAATGATAATCAGAACAGACAAACAATCTGGAGGAAATTGATCTAACACTTGTTATTTTGTTTAGAATTTGGCGAGCATTGTATTGCAGGTGTGATAAGTATTGCATGAAATATTAAGATTTTGTAGACTTGTAAAATAGTAAGACCAAATTGAATTTGTTTTTCCTTTCCTTTTTTTCTTTAGAAGCTCTTGAGATTCTTGGAATTTCATTGGATCATGCCCCTATTGCTCCAGAACACATCAGTATTTTATTTTTTGTAGCTGAATGCATTTTGTATAAACTCTGTTATGATGCAGCACAGAAACCATATCTATTCTCATGTGAAATCAAATTGTTGAAGGTATGCTTTTAATATTAACACACTGGTTCCTTATATAGATATGTGATCTTCAGTGATTATTTAAATCTGATATGCCAATGCAGATTTGCTCTTTCTGCAGGTGTCAACGCTGCAACTTTGTTTTCGATTGCCACAGTTGAGTGGGGGAATGTGTGCTTTTAAGGTTAGACAAAACAATAAATTGTCCTGTGGGAACCAAGGTCATTGCTACTGGGGTTTTGGCGGGTTGTGCTTTCCCTTAGGAAGCCCGCCAAAGTAGTTTACTGGGGAATGTGATTAGTGACATGTTACTGGGGTGGGAAGTTCAATTTTGTTACTTTGTAGCCTTTGGGAGGGAATTTCAGTCTTGGTTTCACTTTTGATCGATACTTTGTAGACAATAAACATGTTCTTTAAGGAAACCTCTTGCCTTGGAGTTCTGTTTTTACTTGTCTCATCTATCAGAACCATGACATTAGGATTGGGAAAGATTTCTTACTTCAGGAAGTGCATCTGGAGATCACAGGTTCAGATAGTACTTGAAACTGTTTGCTTTTCTGTTATTTACTTCTTGCTTCTTCTTTTTTTGCCTTGGAATGTCATTTAGACTTTTTTTTTTTTTTAGTAAGTAATGATTTTTAGTTAGTAATGATTTTTATGTTTACTGCTTTAAAGAAATATTCCAGAAAAGTAATAAAGAAACATTATTCCCCTTTTAAAAATAAAATGAAACATTTGTCGATGAAGATGAAGATTCTCAGTCAACTAGGTAGAGTTGTCGAAAGTTGAGTCATGGCAACTGGATTTCTTTTCTTTTTTGGTTTGAAAGATTTTGCTGCTTATTCAAGTAGCTTCTGAAGCTACTTAGATAAGCAGCAAAATCTTTCAAACCAAAAAAGAAAAGAAGTCCAGCTGCCATGACTCAACTTCCAGACAAAATGAAACAGTGTAATTGCTAAAATGATACTTTACATTAGGATAAACTAAAATAAGTCTACACTTTAGCAGATATACTGCATATAATTACTCTCTGAAGATTCAAGTATAGATTAACTTAATATATTAATTTGTAGACTGCTGTTGCTTTTGAACTCAAACCCAACTAAGTACCAACTAAGACCTAGGCAACAATTACACTTCAAAGACTTTGTGCATAAGCTATGTTTTCAGACTTTCAAAATTATGCTAGGATAGGTACCCAACCCACCCATCAAACCTGCACACACAGTAAAAAAAAAAAGCATGTGTAAAATTACATTTCCCCAAATAATGATAACAGCAACAACAACAATCACTTCAACACTTGGGCAATTCCAGTCATTAGATATACAAGAATGTGGCTTGGATAAAGGAGGTGAAGAAAGGAAAAAAAAGGAAGCTGAAATGACTTTGAACTAGTCCTATTCTGTCAGCCTTAGGCAGTAATAAACTGCTTTTGAAAAGATTGCCAAAAAACCTGCAGGATGCAGTTGTCTGGAATTAAAAATGATTTGAGGACACAACTTTTAAATTTGTATGTGGCCTACTGTTATATTTTCTAGTTTATTTAAATCAAGAAATATATATTAAATTTAAATAGTTATTGTTTCATATATTTACAATTTACTTGCATGCTTACATTGTGGGGCACAAATTAGTGCTTGCTTCGGAAATAGTTGTACAAAGCAAATTTTTTACCATACATATCATTGTTTGTATATTGGGTTTTTTTATTTTTGTAAGCTGCCCAGAGTCACTGAGATAGAATGGCGGCCATACACACTTTTACAAACAAATGAACAAACAAGTCGGGAAGTAGAGAAAACATTATAATTGACTGAATTATACAAAGAGATTATTTCATAGGATGAGGTCTGACATTGAAAAAAACTGTCTCTGGGATCCTGTCTTTCTCATTTACATATTTGGAAAATCTTTTATGTCCTCACCTGAAACAGTAATATGTAATGAAATGGTTCCATATGAAGCAGATGGCTTAAACTTTGCACCTTTTTCCTGAATTCATTGGTTTTGAATAGTCCATAAAACTATGAAATAAATTATCTATACTTAATCCATATTTTAAATATTCTAAAATGGTCCTATAAAAATGTTTTTTTTCTTAGAAGTAACTAATATTGCCCTGCATAATAAACTTTTCAATATTTCAGTGATAGGTCTCTTTATTCTTCCACATGGATTATCATTAGGTATAATATATTTTGTTAGGTCACATATCTTAAAGAAGCAGCAAGAGAATTAGATATTCAAGGGTGAAATTGGTGCCATATAAAAGAAAATTTCCAAATGAAGACATTTATTTCTTAAAGCTGAATAGAACTTCCATAAAAATTGAAGGGCTTATGGGGACATTTTGCTTAATGGTATAATGTAGTTCTGAGCTTTAATCACATATATTTTTCTTACCATTTATTAAGCTTTCTTAAATAATTAATTTTACCTTGACTTCACTAATTTTTCTACTAAATATTATTGAAATCTCATTTTAGCAAGTAAGTTGTTAGTTTTATTTTTATTAGATTTTTTTTAACCCTGCTTTTATTATTTTATAAGTATCCCAAGGTGGCAAACAAACATAATTCTCCTTTCTCCTCCTATTTTCCACACAATAACAGCTCTTGAGGTGGGTTATAACAATAATAATAATAATAATAATAATAATAATAATAATAATAATAATAATAATAATAATAATAATAATAATAATAAAGTTGGAAGGGACCTTGGAGGTCATCTAGTCCAACCCCTGCTTAGGCAGGAAACCCTATACCATTTCAGACAAATGGCTGTCCAGTCTCTTCTTAAAAACTTCCAGTGTTGGAGCATTCACCGCTTCTGGAGGCAGGTTGTTCCACTGGTTAATTGTTCTAACTGTCAGGAAGTTTCTCCTTAGTTCTAGGTTGCTTCTCTCCTTGATTAGTTTACATCCGTTGCTTCTTGTCCTGCCTTCAGGCACCTTGGAAAATAGCTTAACTCCCTCTTCTTTGTGGCAGCCCCTGAGATATTGGAACACTGCTATCATGTCCCTCCTCGTCCTTCTCTTCATTAAACTAGACATACCCAATTCCAGCAGCCGTTCCTTATATGCTTTAGCCTCCAGTCCCCTAATCATCTTTGTTGCTCTTCTCTGTACTCTTTCTAGAGTCTCAACTTCTTTTTTACACCGTGGTGACCAAAACTGGATGCAGTATTCCAAGTGTGGCCTTACCAAGGCATTGTAAAGTGGTATTAATACTTCACGTGATCTTGATTCTATCCCTCTGTTAATGCAGCCCAGCACTGTGTTGGACTTTTTGGCAGCTGCAGCACACTGCTGGCTCATATTTAAGTGATTGTCCACTAGCTTTGAGGTCCCTCTCACAGTTACTACTATTGAGCAAGGTACCCACTATACTATATCTGTACATTTGGTTTTTCTTGCCTAAATGTAGAACCTTACTTTTTTCACCATTGAATTTCATTTTGTTAGATAGCGCCCAGTGTTCAAGTCTGTCCAGATCCTCTTGTATCCTGAGCCTGTCTTCTGGAGTGTTGGCTATTCCTGCCAGCTTGGTGCCATCTGCAAATTTGATGATTTCCCCATCTATCCCCTCGTCCAAATCGTTGAAATCGTTGACTGAGAGTTGACTGAGAGAGAGTGACTGGCCCAAAGTCACTCAGTTGGCTTTCATAGCTAAGGCAGGATTAGAACTGACAATCTTCCTGTTTCTAGACCTTAATTGGAAGTAAACATGAAGCATTGTACAACTTACAGAACATCAAACTGAATATACATTGGAACAGAACCTACATGATTAGCATTGCACTACTCGTCAGATAGTTCACAAAATGTAGCTTCATATCCTAGAACGCAAAGAAACAATGGGGGAGGGAGGTGTAGAATAAAAAAAAATCAACCTTGCAAATAACTAAAGAGTTACGAATCCAGAAAAATTACTTGCCTGCAGATAGTTATGCTAATGAAGAGCCTGAAACCCAGCTAGGTGGCAGCACTCAGCCATTCTTGGTCTCAAAAGGCTGAGCGGGATGGACCAGCTTAGAACTTGGATACTAATTCACTAGGTCAGGGGTAGGCAACCTTGGCTCTTTTATGACTCGTGGACTTCAACTCCCAGAATTCCTGAGCCAGCGAGGCTGGCTCAGGAACTCTGGGAGTTGAAGTCCACGAGTCATAAAAGAGCCAAGGTTGCCTACCCCTGCACTAGGTCATTCTAATACTATAGACTAGACATGAAAGTGAAAACAAAATTCTCAAAAGATAATGGTCAATTTTCTTTCCTATAAATAAAAATACATACTGTAGTTATGTCCAAGAAATCCTCAGGAGTTGGATTGACTTTAGATTAGCTGAGAGTAAATAATATATTTTTTTTGGGACACAAAGAGCCAGCAAATTTGCTCTGTCATTAATGGATGCTTTGTTTTGTCTATCATGTACTAACATCTATATTTTTGTCCAGATAATTTTGATCAGCTTATTTTTGATGCCGTTGGAGTGTTAAAAACATTGTATTCAATCTTATATGCAGTTAGACCCATTTGGAAGACAAGTAACGAAGTCTATCAGTTCTGAGGAGCTCAATTATTCTGACATTTTCTACTGACTTTTTTATCACTTTCTTTTCTATAATAATGATGATGATGTAGGCACTCAACTGTCACAGACATTACTGATTCTTGTCTTCCTCTTTAGTTGTTTAGTATGCTAATGAAGCAAAATACTGTAATCCCTCAAGGAAAAGAAACATTTTTAATCTCTATTTTGGGTTAGCAGGCGAATGATAGATATTGAAAAATTCAGAATGCTTTGCAGCCCAACTCTTGTCTCATCACATCTGGTTTTTTTTGTAGTTATTTTTAGAGAAAACTTCAAACACATGCTGTTTCTTTGTCAAAGATAATACACTGATTTAATTCTTGGTGACTAGTAGTTAGATACTATCATTTTTCACCCTGCACAGGCAGGAGTTGCAAATACTACAGCACCACCTCTGTATGATAGCTGAAAAATTTAGTTACCCCAAAGGTGCTTTTTCACAAGGCAACTGGAAGAGTTGAACTGAACTGAAGAGTTTAGTGATGTTCAGTCCAGTGAGGACTAGGTAATATGAACTAATGAAACGAACAGTGCTGCTGACTTTAACCTAGTTCCAAAGTGTGAGCAATGTCTTGGACAATTGTATAGTTCAATTCACTTTTGGTCTCCCTCCTCCCCTCTGACCATCTGTATGATACTGTGATGATACAGTCTGAAGTGCTAAGGCGAGACGTCTGATAATTTCTTTACTTTCCCCTCTCTTTAAATACACTACAGCACTATCTGTTGTAAGATAATGTAAGTCTCCTGGAGACATAGTATGTTAGTTTGGTGGCCATATAAATATGTTTAATAAATAATAAAATAATTCTATTTTACTGGTTTTGTAGAACACATAGAATTAATTATTTTTCATAACTGCTTTATATGGCAACTTTAAGCAACACCTACTTTGTTAGATAGTGAGTGATCTTAGAAGATATGATGTAATGTTGTCTGGATTCGCAGGAGGAAGGCAGTGCATTCCAAAGTAACAAGAGACAGCACAGCTTGTGTGGGAGAAAAAAAGTTGAAGAAAGTTTCTTCCTAGTAGTTAAATTAGTCTGCTTTAATTTGGCAAAATTTCTGTCTATAGGTGAGAAACAATAAGGGAGCTGTTTAGAAGAATCTCAGCATGTCTTTCTTGATTTTTGGAGTCTGACAGAAGTAAAGGTGGGCTATTTTAGAATTGAGAAAGACAAAACCCACAATTCAAAGACCTTCAATGCATAATTTTGATCTAAAATGTTGGAATAATTAAAAACTTAAATAAATAGAAGAGGTATTATTTTACAAAACAATTTCAAAAGAGTGATCAGACTAAAATAACATGTCATTTAATAATAATACTAGGTTTGAGGTCAATAATTAATATGAATTTGTTTATTTAAAGAGTTGCTTCTTTGTATTAAAAACAGATTCCACAATCAATTAAAAACAATTGGTAATAATTGAAAACAAAGCAAATGTCAACAAAAGTTCTAAAATAGTATACTTAAAACATAGTTAAAAAGGTATAGTATAGAACAACAGTGAGCCAAATGAGAATGTGTAATTGAATATATAGATACATAGATATTTACTAAATTGTTTCTGACAACTTATATATGGAAAAATATGCTGAGGATAATGGTTTCTCTAGCCACAATTTTGAAATGGGGAGTGGTGGGGGGGAATCTGACTCCTTGAACATAAAGACATTCTACTAAATCAGGAAAAACTTTTAAAATGTTACTAGTGTACTGGGACACTGACAAATACATGGACAGAAAGTTATAGAATAAATACTGTTTGTGTGTTGTTGTTTTTTCACAGCTTGGATTTTTAGTCTTTTTAAGACTATTTCTGCTATATTTATTTGGTTACCAGAGGTTTTCCGAAGAACACAAATCCAGGCTTCACACTGGCTTGAAAGGTAAAAAAAAATATCTGTTTATTTTCGCTATATTTGTAAAGTATTTTAGAATCTTCTTGACCAATCTAGTTATGTTACCAAAAAAACATCAAAAGAAAGTTGAGGGCAAATCCAGATTGACATCTTCTATTTACTCCTGCCTATTTAGTAGGAACATCCAACCGTTGACATAGGGAGTGTATCAGGCCTATATTTATATTTTATGTCATCCTTAGCCTATTTTTACAAGCTGTCTACAAATGATTGGTTCAATTCTTTGGCAAAAGCAACCTAGTCTTTTCCAGTAAGCATGGGAAAGCATAGGGGTGAAGCCAGGAGAAAGACAGGAAAGGGCAGCACTGCTCATTTCTTGCTCTTTTGCTGGCAAACAGACAAACTGCATTAATCTGATTATTCTTGACCTCGAGAGAATATAGGCATTAACAGAAAGGAGTTCTCTTTAAAAGGGGCAACTTTTAAAGACAATATTGGCACTCACCACTCTGTTTATTACCACCAATTCTAATTTCCTTTCTTGGGAACTTTTATTTCTTTAATTTGCTTTTAATCTGTTTTAGAAATAATGTTTATGACAGCATGTGGGAGGATTTCATACAAAGATCATAATTGGTTTCCTAAAATTAATTGTAGGAAGATGTTGTTTTCCACAGTCTGGTCTGGATTCATTTTGCGGTTTGAAATAAAGTTGTTTTTGCCAATAAACCTTTCATTGCAAGTAAAAATAATTGTTGGAACAATATGGTTTTATCACAAAGATCAGTTCCAAATTATAAATAGAATTTGCTCAACCTGAATTACCCTGAAGGCTTTTTGTTGTGCTGCCATGATCTATCATGTTCCACAAGAAAGGGATACTGCAGCAGGTTAAATAATGTAGCATTGCACATTTCACATTCCCTGAAATGTAAATGTGACAATCTGAGAACTTCATGCTGGTTAATGTGACTGAAAGAGCAGCTAATGGCGTTTGACGACACCAGATCAGTTTTTGCTCACAAAGCTGGTATTTCTAATGAATGCTAAAGATTTCCCTAATAGACATCAGATTTTTGGCATACATATGCATAGCCTGCAGTGACTCAGCAGGCTGGGGGGCGGGCGGCGGTGCTGTTAATATTGCAGTGGTGTTGCAAACTTGCCACTGTTGTTGGTTGTCATGGCCACACATTCATTCACAAAATCAAGAATATAAAGTCAGACGATTAAAAACAATATCAAGGATATATTTATATCTCTCTCATTAAAAGATCCCCCTCCCCCATGTGCAGTAGCCAGTATAAAAAGATAATTACATTCCCCAATATATTTCTCAAGAAATGCTGTAATACAGGGGTCTCCAACCTTGGCAACTTTAAGTTGGCTGGCTGAGGAACTCTGGGAGTTGAAGTCCACAAGTCTTAAAGTTGCCAAGGTTGGGGACCTCTGCTATAATATGATATTGGATATAGACTGAAAAAATGGCAGTAAAAAAAACTTGGTCCACAAAATATTTTATTAAAAGCAATACGTACATTTCATTAGAAATACCATTCACAGTTTTGGACTATCTTTATTGACCGGATTATGTCAGTAATTCTTTAAAGTATAATTTCAGCAAACTTTACATATTGCAGCATTTTGCCATAGAAAAATCTATTTAAAAAGAAGATTCTTGTTCCACTTGTGGCAGTACAGAAATGATCAAAGGTGTGTTCCTTCATTAGATGTTATTGGACAGCTATTTTTTTTACATTGTATTGTGCATTAAATATTCTAATTTATAATATTTTTAAGATGGATGAAAGCTGACACTGAAATTCACTGACCTACTGTATACTGAAATGTACACAAAACAGCAAGTTTGTATTAAGCAGATGGCTTAAAGTATCAACTTGTTCTGTCTACTTCATTGTTAGCAGCTGTTGCTTAGAGGAAGCACATGGAATCCTTCCATTTAATAAAGAAGACAATAGCCAGAGAAAAAATTTGTGTACTGAGATTGAGGGATAGTAATTCGGATCTGTAATTTAATATAAACAAATTTAATTTGCACTTTCTACATATGAACCAGCATGCACCCATGCCTCCATTACTGTTCTTGCCTAAATATTGGATTGCAGTTCTTTTATAAAAGTAGGTGTATATAAAAAAAAATACATTAGGAAACATTGCAGATAAAAAGACATCCATTAGAGAAGATTACAATCTAAACCAATTGTTTTCTATATAGATTTTTAAAAAATTCTGCACCAAGAGATGTAAAAAGAAGATTGAGGGAATGTTTATGAAAAATATGTCAATAATATAGGAAGGAAAATGGACGTGTATCTTATATAGATTATACATTCTTCCAATAGAATTGTGTATGTAGTATTTTGTCAATCCACAAGAGGTCACACAATATTTATATATCCATTCTAGAAAATTCTTTGCTAAAGATTCTTTTCATTTAATAGTGAAGTTTGATATTACATAGTATCTAAAATTCAATAGGACAAACTAACACGGTGTTGTTGTTGTTTGTGCCATAGCATTAGCAGCATGTGAAATGTGCTATCAACTTTACCCAAACATTCTTTTTATGGTGCAATTTATGCTGAAGACTGGAGAAATTATCTGTGAAACAGCAGTGGTTTCTGAATCACAATTAGAATCCCAGGAAAATTTAGAAGAAATGGAGGAAAAACCACTTCTTGACACAGTAGGTAACACATAATTGATATACAATACATCAAGCAGCATTACCACAATTAAATAAGCATGATTAGTAATTCAGTGAGAACTATTAAAGCTGAGTTGAAGTGGCAGATTGGCCACTTAAAAAAAAAAGATATGGGTTATCCTGATCAAAGCCCGGTTCTTTGAAATATTCTCAGGAGTATGTCGTGTGTGTGTGTATAATAATAATAATAATAATAATAATAATAATAATAATAATAATAATAATAATAATAATAATATAATATAATATAATATAATATAATATAATATAATATAATATAATATAATATAATATAATATAATATAATATAATATAATATAATATAATATAATATAATATAATAAGGTAAGAGCTATTGATGCTTCGAAAAAATCCAATTGAAAAAGAAGCTAATAGACGTCAAGCTAGTTAGATGTTATCATGAGTGCTGTCACTAATGACACAAGCAAGAGCTTACAAGTATTGAAGAAATCAGTACTAATAGACTATCTTAATGAATGATACGCTTTGGTCACAAAAAGTTGGAAGTGACAAAGGTGGAACTGTGAAAAACTCTTGCCTGAAATTCTGGAAAATTGCTTTTGAGATAGACCTGGCATCTATAACCTATTCTCTTCTTCAGGTGCATATGGCTACTACATTACATAACTCCTAGTCATGCTTGGAGTGGACCATAGACCAGGAATGGGAGAATGTGAACTTTTGGATTATATTTTCTGGCAATTCCAGACAATAAGGTCAATGATAAGAAATGTTGAAAGTTATCTTTTTAGAAATCAGAGCAGGTTCTCTTTCCCTGCTGTTGATAACTTGGCATTCCCCCCATTTTTCTCAATTGCCATGCTTTATAGAAGTTATAAATCAAACTATGTGGTGTAGGCAGTGGTGGGATTCAAATATATGAACAACTGGTTCTCTGTGTGGATGCCGCTTCCGGAAGTCCATTCTGGGCCTGGGCAACAAAAAATTAGCTACCGGTTCTGCCGAAGTGGTGCGAACCGGCTGAATCCCACCACTGGGTGTAGGGAATCTTGAAACCTTTCAAATGAGCTAGTTTCAGATAAAATAGATCTTTTAATTTCAGGAAAGAAATCTTTGGATTTCCTGAAATTAAAAGATCTATTTTATCTGAAACTGGCTCATAAAGGAATCTTCTCAAATACTAGAAAAAAATAACCCACATTTTATGTAGGATAAAATATTTTTAGCAACTGATGGGCCTGGATGAACTATGATCTTCGTTACTTGTTTATTATTCTCACGACCCTTTTGGCTGGCAAAGGCCTCCTGAGAGGTGATTTGGTTAAGTTTTAGTGGTGGTGAATTCTTCTTTGAGAGAGAGTATGGTTCCTTTACCCCTTAAAGAGCCATTGGTCTATTCTTTTCTCAAGAAGCTGGACTAACATATACTGGCTAATTTTTGACCAGTATTTATTTATTAATTAATTTATTTATTAATTTAATTTATATCCCGCCCTTCTCCTTACGGACTCAGGGCGGCTAACAACCAGATAAAACACTAATCCACAAAAACTACAAATTTAAAAACATAAGTAAAAACAAATATTAATAATTTGGTCAAATTAATTTAAGAATTGCTTTAAAACCCCATTAAAATTTTCCCCTAGGCCAGTCCTGCAAGTTGGAATAGCCATGTCTTAAGGGCGCGGCGGAAGGAAGGGAGATCAGGGATCACCCTGATCTCTGGGGGCAGCTCATTCCAGAGGGTGGGAGCTCCCACAGAGAAGGCCCTCCCCCTTGGGGTCGCTAGCCGGCACTGTCTGGCCGACGGCACCCTGAGGAGACCCACCCTGTGGGAGCGTACAGGCCGATGGGAGGTAATCTGTGGCAGAAGGCGGTCTCGAAGGTATCCCGGTCCGCTGCCATGGAGCGCCTTAAAGATGATGGTCAGCACCTTGAAGCGCACCCGGAAGGCCACCGGCAGCCAATGCAGCTCGCGCAGCAGCGNATAATATAATATAATATAATATAATATAATATAATATAATATAATATAATATAATATAATAATATAATATAATTAATATAATTAATATAATATAATATAATATAATATAATATAATATAATATAATATAATATAATATAATATAACATAACATAACATAACATAACATAACATAATATAATATAACATAACATAACATAACATAACATAACATAACATAACATAACATAACATAACAATATAATATAATATAATATAATATAATATAATATAATATAATATAATTAATATAATATAATATAATATAATATAATATAATATAATATAATATAATATAATATAATATAATTAATATAATTAATATAATTAATATAATATAATATAATATAATATAATATAATATAATATAATATAATTAATATAATTAATATAATATAATATAATATAATATAATATAATATAATATAATATAATATAATATAATATAATATAATATAATATATGAAGGTAAGAGCTATTGATGCTTGGAAAAAATCAAATTGAAAAAGATGCTAATAGACGTCAAGCTAGTTAGATGTTATCATGAGTGCTGTCACTAATGACACAAGCAAGAGCTTACAAGTATTGAAGAAATCAGTACTAATAGACTATCTTAGTGAATGATACGCTTTGGTCACAAAAAGTTGGAAGTGACAAAGGTGGAACTGTGAAAAACTCTTGCCTGAAATTCTGGAAAATTGCTTTTCAGATAGACCTGGCACCTTTAACCTATGCTCTTCTTCAGGTGCATATGGCTACTACATTACATAACTCCTAGTCATGCTTGGAGTGGACCATAGACCAGGAATGGGAGAGTGTGAACTTTTGGATTATATTTTCTGGCAATTCCAGACAATAAGGTCAATGATAAGAAATGTTGAAAGTTATCTTTTTAGAAATCAGGGCAGGTTCTCTTTCCCTGCTGTTGATAACTTGGCATTCCCGCCATTTTTCTCAATGGCCATGCTTTATAGAAGTTATAAATCAAACTATGTGGTGTAGGCAGTGGTGGGATTCAAATATATGAACAACTGGATCTCTGTGTGGATGCCGCTTCCGGACGTCCATTCTGGGCCTGGGCAACAAAAAATTAGCTACCGGTTCTGCCGAAGTGGTGCGAACCGGCTGAATCCCACCACTGGGTGTAGGGAATCTTGACACCTTTCAAATGAGCTAGATTCAGATAAAATAGATCTTTTAATTTCAGGAAAGAAATCTTTGGATTTCCTGAAATTAAAAGATCTATTTTATCTGAAACTAGCTCATAAAAGGAATCTTATCAAATACTAGAAAAAATAACCCACATTTTATGTAGGATAAAATATTTTTAGCAACTGATGGGCCTGGATGAACTATGATCTTCGTTACTTGTTTATTATTCTCACGACCCTTTTGGCTGGCAAAGGCCTCCTGAGAGGTGATTTGGTTAAGTTTTAGTGGTGGTGAATTCTTCTTTGAGAGAGAGTATGGTTCCTTTATCCCTTAAAGAGCCATTGGTCTATTCTTTTCTCAAGAAGCTGGACTAACATATACTGGCTAATTTTTGACCAGTATCCAGTGTTCTCTTTTTAGGTAAGGTTATTGAGAAATTGGTCGTGCAGCAGCTTCATAGGATCCATCCTTGATCTCTTGGTGACTTTCCATACCATTGATCAAGCTATTCTTCTGTACTGGCTGCAGAAGTTGGGGGTGAGTGGCACTGCTTTGTGCTGGTTCTCTTTCTTCCTCCATGGACTGTTTCAGTCAGTGTTTCATTTCATTTATTTCATTTATTCGATTTGTATCCCGCCCTTCTCCCGAGGGACTCAGGGCGGCTCACAACATTTTTAAAACAGAAACATGCCCACAATCCCCACCGAATAAAACCAATTAAAACCCAAATATTTTAAAGTTGTGGTATTTAAAATTTTCTAAAAATGAACCCGATTTAAAATCCTCCCTAGGCCAGGCCCGCTTGCTGGAAAAGCCATGTCTTGAGGGCGCGGCGGAAAGTAAGGAGATCCGGAATCACCCGGATCTGGGGGGGTAGTTCGTTCCAGAGGGCGGGGGCACCC